GCATGGGGGTGAGTAGAAAATGAAGGCTAATCATGTTTTGGGTGTACTATTCCTTTAAGGCAGTAAAAGTCTCTCCAACAAGCTACAAATAACACTGGCATTCAGAATTAGTTTGTTTCTTAGAATAATGTTTCCTACCAAATCATACAGTACAGAATAAGATCCAAATGTTCTTTATTTTTCCTTTGTGGAGAAACTTGTGTGAGAGAACAAGAAGCGTGAAGATTCACACAAAGATGATAAAAACAACATAAGAATAACACCATGTATAGTAAAGGAAAACATGGGGAAATAATATTTTGCAACATCAAAAGTAGTTTCAGATTAAAAGAAATGTGCAGCTGAGTTTAGTTATTTAGACATACGCTAGTTCTGTAAGATAAATGTATCAAAATGCATATAGCACGAATTATAGATTTTGAGACTTTTAGGAGGAAAAAAGGTTATAAGGTCCATTAACTGTTTGCAGGAGTCAGAATGATCCTTATAATGGGCAGCTTTAAAGTGCAAATTATGTCGTTCTGGCTCATATTTCCAACAAACTAAATCTAGTCCAAGCAGTTAAGCTATAAGTTAATTCAGAAGTGAAGATTTCATAGTTTATCTTCAGAGAGCTGGTTGGTTTGCTTGCATCATGTGATCTGCACCCCTGTGATGACTGTCAGCTGTGTTTTTTTCCTCCCTTCCCTCCCCGCTGCAGGCCATCTGTGTGGGCCCCGAGAACCTGCAGATCATGTACCCAGCCATCTTTGAACAGCTGCTACTTTTTGTGGAATTTTCCTGCAAGCCTCCTCAGTACGGCCGGGTGGAAACCAAACACGTGGCAAACGCTAAATACAACCAAGTAAGACCTGGAAACTACCATGCAGCCGCATCCTTTTCCTTTCAGTTGCTCCATTTTTTTTAAAGGCTGAATATAAAACAACCTTTAATCCTATCAAACCTATCAAAATAAAAGGCTGTAGCCATGTCCTACTGAATAATCTCTTCCTTGTGCATGATTTTTCTGGCAGCATGCACATAGTTTTTCACTGTCTTTCTGCAGTCTTTGAATTCTCACCAGGGAGTCTTATAAAACACCAAATCAAAGTTTCTCTATACGGCT